CCTGAGTTCAGTTCCCAGCACTCACATGGTGGCTCACATCTGTCTATGATGAGATCTGATTTCCTCTTCTGGTGTGCAGACAGACAGACAGACAAAAGCACCCATACACAGCCGGGGTGGGGGGTGGGGGTGGCGCACGCCTTTAACCCCAGCACTCAGGAGGCAGAGGCGGGTGGAGCTCTGTGAGTCTGAGGCCAGTTTGGAATACAGAGCAAGTTCCAGGAAAGCCAGGGCAACACAGAGAAACCCTGTTTCGAAAAACAAAAACAAACAAACACAAAAAAAGGTAAAAGAGTGGTAGAGGAGGAGTCTAATATCAATACTTCTCACCTCCATGAGCAAACACACACACACACACACACACACACACACACACACACGAGATACAGTACCTAAGGAACACCTGAGGTTGTCCCCTGACCTCTATTGGCACCTGCACACACATGATTATACACAACACACACACACACACACACACACACACACACACACACACACACACACGGGCGCGCGCGCGCCAGGATCCAGCTTACTTCCCCTTCTCACAGTCCCACAAGGCCATGTTTCCCAACACCAGTTAGTTTCATTGGAGAAGACTTCACCCTGTAGCTCCTCCCTTCCAAGACGCTGCTCTGTTGTCCTCACATCTGTTATCCCTCCTCCCAAGAGACCCACACTGGGGTCCCATTAGCCTGCTGGGAGGCCCGGCTATCCCGCGGCCCTTACAGGGTCCTCCATACAAACCACCTGCCCTGGGCCACACGGGCTGCTACCAGCTGACCTCCACTTCATTCCAGAGGGAACCTGTGGCACTCCTCAACCATTCCTGTCCCCTGTCCCCCACTCCCCGGGGAGGGGGGCGGCTGAGACCGTTTGTGACATTCTCAGAAGTAACCCCTCCCCACTACCACTACACTGTCTTGTGTTTGCATTGACACTCGCTTTAGTCGTTTGCTTGCAGGTTTCTGCAGGTGTGTGACTATGTCACCACACCACGAAGGGGGATTCTTCAGCAGCAGGAGCAGAAGGGATATGAGATCCTAGAGGCTTGCCCTCCGCCATGCGGAAGGGGGGTGTGTGGAGGTGCGACTGTGCTGATGTCTCCACGGGGCCTCCCTTTCCTCGCCCTCGCAGGTGGCAATCCAAGCAAGAGCCCATAGGGCCGGCTGCATCTGCGTAGAATCCGGAACCCTCCTGCCAACCGCTCGCGCCAAGTACACCAGTTCTCTTCCGCGGGCAGGATTCTGGGCGGCCACCGCTCGGCGCAGATGGGCCGCTCGAAGCTGCTCTCCGGCCGCGCGCCCTGCTCTCCCCTCGAATGTCCTCCGGGACGCGCGGCCTGCGGGGTTTGTTATTGTGCGAGCACCGGCCGCCGAGCGGGCGCTGGTGCCTGGCGCGTGCCCGTCGGTAACGCACCGGGAGCGCGCGGCTCGGAGCGGGGCGGGGCTCGGGATCCTCGACACCTCAGCCCGGCTCGAGAACCGGGATTGGTCCGGACGCCGGGAGCGCGCGAGGGCGCGGCTCTTAGGGCCGGGCGGGGGGCACGCGCGGCGCCGGCGGCGGCCGCGGAGGAGCGCGGGGAGGAGCGCGGAGGAGGAGCGCAGGGAGGAGGGCAAGGGGAGGGAGGAGGCGCCCGCCGGGCTCCCTGCAAAGCGGCCTTATTTATCTGGGCACAGCCTCAGCCTCCCCGGTGGGAGGCTCAGGGCGGCAGATCCTCTCCCACCGGGGAGCTCCGCTCTGGGCTCTGCCGAGAGGGCCCTGGCGCGGAGCGCCGGGCGCGGGGCGCAGTCGGGCCCTGCTAGCCAGTCCAGCACCTCGGCCGCCTCCGCGTTTGGCGGCTCTGGTGCTGGGCTCCCCATGACGCGAGGTCGCCCGGCGGACAGCGTGGCATGAGCCAGAAGCCCTGGCCGAGGTAAGGTGTGTGCGCGCGCGGCCAGGCTGCGGGGAGGGGAGGGTCCAGGTCGAGCCACTGCCTCCGCGGAGGCTACAATGAGGAGGGGGCGGGGTGGGGACTTGGGACTGCGCCGCGGCCGCCGCCGCCTGAGCAGGGCTTACGTAATCGCAGCCCCTTCCCCATCTCATCCTCCGGCCGCTGGGCCAGCGCGTCGCTCCGCAGCCCTTAGCCCCAGCAGCCGGCCTGATCGCACCCCGCTCGCCACTGGCAAAGCGGTCAGGCTGTGGGTCGGTACCGCGGAACCGCTTGAGAGGAAGCACGGTGGCTGCGAGGACGCGGAATTGCAGGCAGTCAGCCCCCACTCGTTCTGGCTTGGCTCTGGGCTCTCTCCACTCCAGCTCTATGAGCCTCGGGCGGACTGGAGGACGTGACAGGTGTTGATACAATTAAACGGGAGGAGCCATGTGGATATGTGGCCTACGGGCCCTGGACACCTTCTGGACATGAGCTGGTATAGAACTGCCGCCCACAGGGAGGCAGAGGGAGTGGGCTGGCATGTCTTTGGTTCCAGAGAAGGCAATGGGCCTTGGCCAAGGTTGGAAGGCTTCAAAATGGGGAATGGGCGTCCTGAGATTGCTGAACAGGGCTTCCATGTCCTTCTGGGATGTTAGGTCGGTGGGGGATCCTCCCCACCATTCATCCCAGGAGAGAAGGCTGCACTGTTGAGGCCTGGATCTGGCCTAGCAGCCCTCCTGCTAGCCCCTCCCAGCCTGAGCCAGCAGCTGACCTCCCAGGAGCAGATGGCAGATGCCACTTCACCTGCTCCCTCCTTGAGGCCTGACTTCCACTGCCATCCTGTACCATGGCCCACTGACCAGGGGCTGTTCGGGCCTCCCTGGTGCCCCTTTGGACACAGGACCTGCTCTTCCAGCCCATCACTTTGATGAGATGCTGGACAGAGCCGAATGTGGGGGTTGGGAAGGGAGCCTGAATGATGGGGGCTGCCTAGATGAGGTCAGAAACGTGCCGGAGCCTGGCTGTCCCGCCTAGAAGTGGTCTGAGGGATGGGCTGGGAGCCATTAGGAGGAGAGAGGGGGAGAGTCAGGGTTGAAGACATGGGTGGTACTGAGATACCCCAGGATCCAGCTGCCCCATTTCCTGCAAACCCTCACTGCTGGACTCCCCAGCCACCCTTTCCCCTAAGTCCTGGATACATATGCACTCACCCCTTCTCCCAAATACTCGCTTCCTGACACCCGAATGAGTCCTGTCTCCCATTGTTGAGGTTAAAGCAAGTGCTTCTAGGTATAAGGGATCTAGACCCAGGAAGCCTTGAGAGATTGAGACAGACAGATCCCCGAAACAGGGGAAGGGGCCTCTGGCTGGTGTCGTTCAACTCTCCTCACCTGTGGGAGTCACTGATGTACCTTCCAGGATCGGCACAGGAAAGGGTGGGGGTGGTAGCAAGGCAAGGTCTGGCCAGTGAATGGCCCTGAGCCTTCCCTGCTAGTGGTCTAACGGCCAAACAGGCTGCACAGAGTGCAGCTGGGCTGCGTTTGGCAGGTGTCTAAAGGAGCCTCAGGCCTACCTCTTGGAGGCCTCATATTCTTCAGAACAGGAAAGACCTAATAAGCAAAAGCCCAGCATCTATTCCCCAGTGCCTCGTGGCCATTTGCCCTTAGCTGGGATGCAGAGCCTCAGTCTGCTGGAGCATCAACGTGGGTTCTTCTCAAGGCCTATGTACCTCCTGGGCCAAGGGTCTCCCCGTCCCGAAACCCCTGGTGCATCCCCAGAGGCTGCTGCAGCAGGGGGTGGAGGGAGAACGCCGCTGTTGACACGTGCAAAGTAGCAGGGATGTGAACGTGCCTGAGTCAGAGCACTGTCACTGTGCCCCCGATCCAGCTACCTTGCTTGTCACCCCAGTCCCTGGGGCGACCACTCTGGACTGAGCTTGATATGAGTATTTTGGTTATTTTTTTTCCGAGCATGAGGAGCTGATCAGGGCCGGTTCTATATAGGCCAGGAACCAACATCCAAGGTGGCCTCCATCCTGACCTGGTGCTCATAGAGATGACTGTGTCAGAGACAGAAGAGTCCCTGGACTGACAGCTATGAGAAGCGGGACATTGGTGGGCATGTGGTTTGCAATCTTTAGGACTTCAGGGTTATAGAAGAGATCCTGCTGGATGAGGACTGTGTGCAGAGGCCACTAGCAAGATCGCAGGAAGACACAGGACCTAGTGAGGCACAAGAAAGAGAAGCAAAATGCAACAGATGTGTTCCTGGTCTGAGGGGTTGGTACTTAGGAAGCCCTGGGGTCTTGGGAAAAGTTGCAAGTGGTGCTCCAGACAGTAAAGAGGCAGGAGATACTGGGAGTGCGGGGCCTTCTTCTTCTTCTTCTCTTTCTCCTTCTCCTTCTCCTTCTCCTTCTCCTTCTCCTTCTCCTTCTTCTTCTTCTTCTTCTTCTTCTTCTTCCCATCATCTCAGTGGTTCCTGTCTCTTCTGGGGTCAGGCCAGATTTAGGGGCACAGACAGCCATATTCTTTAGCCGTGAAACTCCAGAGGGAGACAGCCAAAAAAAAGAACTGCAAGAGCTCCCCCACCCATATCTGCACCTCAAGCTCACAGGAACTGGGGGGGCAGGTGCTGACCCCAATCTAGTTCCTTCTCTAGAAATCCTGACCACTGTTGTACCTGGAATCGAGTTCTTGAGCTGCTCCTACCCCACTGACCAGCCACGCTACCGGGCCAGGGGAAGAGACAGATGGCAATGACAGCCCCTATGATGGGTGACACTCTGAAGGCACTTTTTCCAGAGTACAAGCGACCCTAGCTATGGGGGCAGGCAACTGAGAAAGCCTATGGAAGAAGCAGGGCCACCATTTGGCCAGGTGATGGGAGACAGGAGAAGAGGGATGAAGGGCAGAGGCCTGACTGGGCAAGGAGTCAGTGCTGGAGGTTAGGCTGGGAAGCTACTTGGGTCTCGGGGCCCAGTGACTGGATCCGCAGAAAAGGCAAGTCCTCGTGGCTCAGCACCAGGGTCTGTGGACTGTTAACCTGGAAGCCACCAAGTTCTGGAGCTTCCCTAGAAGCCCTGCTATGCCCA